GATAAAAAAAGAAGAAAACCGATTGAACAACAATCTACACTTAAAGATACAAAAAGTGAATTACAGAGTGGAAGAAATTTCTCTTGCTCAGCCTTGAATCCTCCTTTCAAGGAAACTGTACAATCAGAGAGTTCAGAGAAGACACTCATGCAGAAAGCGTCAAGCACAGAAAAACAAGGCCTCAGAAAAAGCGCTTCAGCAGTTATCACAAGAGAAAATGCTGGAAGCAGTGCTTCATTCAAGTTATGCTTAAGGGTTTTTGTCTTTTTTGCAGCAGTGTACTAGGTGAAAATAAGGTTTGCCTTCCTAGAACCAGCCTGTGAAACCCACACAGCATTGCTGTATCTCCATTTCCCGCACCGGTGAATTTTCAAAAGCACTTGTCCCGAAAGTTACTCCGCGTCTGAACTTCGGCAGAGAACCGATAGCAGCACCCCGACAGGTCTGGGGGAGCCGCCACCTGCCAAGGGACAGGGCAGCCCGAGGGCCCGGCTGGGGGCCGGCCGCGGGATCGGAACCGGGGCGGCCCGGCCCGGGCGGGCCGTCGGACACGCGTGTCGGGAGCCCCCCAGTCCCGGGCGAGGATCACTCACGGTCTCTGGAGCGATTCCTCGGGGAGGGTAGCCGGGCCCTGCTGCTGCTGGAAGGAGCGCAGCGACTCGAAGGCTTTCGTCAGCTTCTCCATGGTGGCCATGTCCGTTCCGCCCGAGCCGGCGGCACCGGCCCGCGCTCCGACCCGCTCTGTCACGGGCGCCTGGCGGGTCCCAGAGNCGACGGGCGTTCTGGCCAATCAGAAAGAGGCTCAGCCCCTCGACGCGTGCCGGAGCGGCCGGGGACTGCAGTGCGGCGCCCCCTGACGGCAGTGGCCGTGGTGCCCGGGAGGCCGCAGTGCCGTGCTTGGCTCTGGGCAGGGCTGGGCAGGGCCGGGGATGCCACCGGCATGCCACGGGCGGAGAGCCGGCCCTGGGAGCCTCTGGCAGCCCCTGGCACTGCCCCGCGGGGAGCCGCGTTCTCAGCTGCACGGCAAGGACCGTAGCAGCAAGGCGAGAGCACTCGCGCTGTGCCCGCATGTCACGGGTGCACAGCAGGTAACGCACCCGCCCCCTCAGTACAAGTGGCGGCCAAAGGCGCTGCCGGCACTCCGGTTTTATTTTAGGCTGCAGAGACACTCTTACAGGAACAAGACACTTAAAACTTGGCAGCGTTTGTGTTGGCCTTTCAGCGCTCCTCTCCTGAGTGCGGACTTGCTTTATCAGAGGATAATTCTTGTGCACACATATTAAACATACAAGATACAAGACAGTATAGAATATTTAAGTCATTGATTCGATTACTAAACACTTAGAAAAAAATCAGTAATATTGTGAAGTTTCCAATTGCGACCACTGATTTTAATATATCTACTTGTTAATACAGACTTTAAATGACAGCTGATAAGAACTGGCAATTCAACTTATCTCACACACATGAAACTGCTTCCAGAAATAAAAATCAAGAACAGCTCTTGGAAGTTCTAAGAAAATTAATTTCCAGTAATTCAACTTGTTTACTGTTAGCAGACATGAAGAAAAAAAGCAAAGCTCATGTCTCTGAATATTCAGGCCAACAGAAGTCGTAGACCACATTCTTGCCAAATATCCACAAGAACAGTGCTCTGCCAGTTAACTTTATCAGCATGTTAGTAAAAGACATTTTAAAAACTATTTGAAACATAGTTTTTAAAATGTTTTAGTTTCCTTCTATTCTGGAAGGAAACCTATCCTCAATCCTGAAAGTAATTCAACTTAAACCTTATTAAAACCTCATTATAGAAGTGCTACAAAATGTGAGCTTTTAAGGTAAAACCAGTATTCTACCCGATTACTTTATGATAAAGCTTGCAGAAACATTTCTTTGGAACATGTGGATGATCATGAATTTTTTATGAAGCAAATGATATATGATAAAAGATGACAGCAGAGTTGGAATGTTTCACACTCTGTGCATGTGCCACTCCACACTTTGAAATAAATTCAAGCGCAGTAAAAAGAGCGTAAGCTCTTATCAAAGATTAAACAAGCCACCAACCAAGCCAGCCCTTGCAAGGCTGTTTTGAAGCTTTTGATCAAAGTGTGCCAGTCCCCTGTGGGCTGCTGACTCACTGGCAGGAGCGCCAAGGCAGTGGCTGCCCACAAGCTCCCTGCTCTTTGTTCTCCCTGTCCTTCCGAGCTCTATCGGCACTGAGAGGCTCATTAACTGTGAGCAAACTGGAAGGTAACTCAGGGTATCAGGTTTTAATTTGGTGAATACCTTATCAGTATTCTCCCAGTCCAAACTGACTGATCCATGGTTTCGTGTGTACCATGTCACTGATACGCCCCACAAACACCCGCACTGGCAAAAATAAAGCAGTGTAAACCAGGCAAGGGGCAAGAAACAGCAAGGCAGGATTAGAGAACAAGCATTTTTGTAAAGTCGGCGTTACCTCAAAGAAAAATGAAGTTCCAATTAACAGTGCATAACTTAAAGATTATCTGAAATTCAGGGATTGGCAACTAATTAATCTCAGCCTCTGGGAGAAAAAGAAAAGAAACATGCTCTTACCTTGTCTCTAAAGCTACCTCTTGATTTAATGTTTCTAAGATGAACATGTCCAGAGTATTTTTCACCCTATCCTGAAGTCCTACTTTGGCCAGCTTTTCTGCATTTCCATGAACAGTTCAGCAGTTGGTACTACTCCATGACACTGCTGGCCCATGTGCTTTGGCATGTGCATGGATAATCTGCAATATGTCACAGCACAGTTGTGTTTTAAGGTGATTTAATTTGAAGCTCTTTTGTAGGGTATTTGGGAGCTTTGTCCTTCAACTCATAAAAATAAATGTGTTAATGAAAAACACCCCATCAGAATAATGTTGTTTCACATGGAAACTTATGCAGAAATCTAGATCCAGACCATGAGATAAGGGATCAATTGATCCAGTACAGCAGAACTAGGGCATTTTTTCCTGGATTTGACTATCTTACATTGGTAAAAAACTAACACGATGCAACAGACATTTTCTGTTTCAAGAAATTGGATATTTTTTTAATTACAATTTTCCTTCTTTTTTTTTTTTCTATCCCAGCTACCACGATTGACATGGTAAATAAATCACATTAGACAGTAATAAATGTGGTTGAGATATGTGGCAGTGTTTTGCTTTTATTTCAGGAATTACAATGCTAGAACATCCAGGGAAACAGCTCACACAAGAACAGTCAGTGGTTTGGAGATGCTGGAACTAACACATCACAATTAACAGTCAGCTTCCTATGTTTAGAAAGAATTCTGGTGTTTTGGACACAACTGGATCATGGAGAAAATTTACCTACATCCCATGTGCAAAACTTAAGTTACACCACAAGAACAATTATGAAATAAAAAAAGAATTGTTCATTCAGCAGAAGAGACATCATCATCACCAAAATAAGCCAGGCAAGTAATTAAAATAAAAGTAAATATGACTTCAGCTTAAAGATGCTTTTCAATAATTAAAATTTCACTTCCTAAGGAGAACTATTTTCTGAAAATCTATACTAAAATAATAATTCCAATGTTGAATTCACATAATGCTAAATTGCAAACCATAGAAAAATATTACTTTTGTTGTCATATAAGTTTGTAACTTGCAAACAAGTATTCTCTGTGTGTACAAATGGCAATGAAATCTTACATCAATGTAGTTTGAAAAATAATTCAAGTGCATTCTAAGAATGGATCATTAGTTGGTTTTAATAGCTTCTATCATTGATTTATAAACTAGATTATTTTGGAGATTCTCTTTCATACTCAAAAACATTCACGAGTACTGTTTTAGGAATGATTTGGGGGGGGGAAGAGACAAGAGTTATTAAATGCTAAGGTTTGTCAATAACACACTTGTTACAGACATACCACAGTTTGGTTTTTTTTCTACTTACTATTAGTTTTAAGTGCTCATTTTTTCAGCTGAGACTGTTCTATTGTTGTGATAATCCAGAAACAACACCATCTCTATTATGAACACACCTCAGGGGGCAGGGGGAAGCTGACAGCTTTTTTAATAGAAAAAAACAATCCTGAGGCATGAAGATTCTATTCTGCTGCTCACAACATTGAAAATGTTAAGCAAACCATTAAGACACTGGAACATTGTTTCACAGTTTCTGAATTTTGAGCTAAATAGAGAGGTTGGAGGTACGCACAAACGGACATGAAGATTTACATACACAAATGCTTGGAAGCACATGCCACAGGAAAGTGGGGTTGATCTCATGCAAATAACTCCATGGAATTCCATAAGTCTTTCCAAATCTTGTACCAGTATAACATTGGATTGTCTCACTGCTATTAAAGCCTTCTAACACAAGGGTCTAGAGAATGAAGTCATGCTGAATTACAAGTTTTGTTGGCTTCCCCCATCCCACCCCAACAGTTTACAGAAAGTAAAAGGCTACATAATCACAATCTGCTATTTTCCCCCTTCTTTGTCCCAGTTTTGTCCTAAAAAAAAATCAAGAGCTAAGTTCATATTAAATTTCTTGCATCATGGTATTTTGCTTTCAGGTGCTCTCCCCTCTCCTTAGCCTTCTCCTGCTTTCAAGATGCAACTCCAAACTCCTAATACTCCAGTAGAGACCTTTAACCAATGTTAGTCACCTTAGATTAAAAAGCATAACATCTTCTGCTCCGCGTACTGTGTAAGAAGTGTTATGCTGATTGCTGATCCTTCCAGTTCCTTGTTTTTTCTAATTTTTTAGGGGATTCACATCACCTATGATCTATTCATTATTATATGTTTGAATTTCTAGCCAAAAGGGACAAAATTATAGTACAATACTGCCATCTTGAGCCTACTGGGGAAGAACCAATCAACTAACAAAAAAAACCCCCAAAAAACAACAAACATCCTGCAAACATGTACTCACTCAAAAACATCTCAATAGTACTAGTCTGAACTTAAGAAATAACTTGCGAAATTAAACTAAGTAAAACTTCATAAAAACAAACAAATTCTCACTTTATTTCAAAGAGTTCCTTCGTCAAAGGAAGTGGACATGTAAATAACCACTTCTTAGGAACAATTTCCCTTTTCTCTTCATTTAGCCCTCTTTCTTCACAGATTCTGGAAATCTGGAAAATATCTGTTAAGCCTCGACACTCCAAAATAGAGAAGCTGGTTTTATTTTTTCAAGTTAGGATTCCTCTCCATCCAATAGAGAAAGAAAACTTGAAATACATGATAAATAGGCTTTCAGATTTTTTTTAATATTTGTTAAAACAATTTCCTGTATTTTCTTCATAAAAATTATTCAGCTTGTGTCTATGGTATTCTTGCCCAAATTTCAAGTTACTCTACATTAAATCCAGACTGCCACCCTGTATGTCTGGTATTTATACAGTCACCTTTGCCTCAGAACAGCAAGCCAAAGATCTTAAAAATTCAAACCCCTTAATCAGAGAAATGATGACTTCTCCAGCCACATAGGTATTTATCAAACAATTATGTTACTTCCCCATTTTCCATTCCCATCTTTTTAGAGTTCTTCTATTGCTGTGGTACAAAATAAAGAGGGTCAGGTCAGACTGCCAGCTCATTGTCTCACACATAATGGTTCTAGCCAACACCCTTACTTCAGATATTTCTGTCAAGCCTCCCATCCCTTCGCTATTACATCAGACCATCTTCCAGTAATTCATTCAAACTCTCTCGCCCTCTGCCAATTTCTCCCTTTGCACTCTCTAAAAGAGTAATTTTGCTGTTTTGTATGCTGTTTTAGACTGGAGGAAAAATGCACTGAAAACATGGAAAAATAGACTCATTCCTTATTTCTGTGGCACAGTAGCCAAGTAGGGTTCTGCAGCACACTGGGATTTCCAATTTTTTCATATTCTAATCCATTAAAACTTTGTATTTATAGACCAAATATTGTGAATTAAAACCTAATGATAGGCTTGAATATCAAATATATCTTGTGAGTTTCTCTGAAGCAGCTGAAGTTTCTTCCAGTGGATCTGCAGATCACAAGAGAGACCTTTTTGAGGTGGGGGGCTATTCAGTTGCTCTGTGTGTACATGTGTGGTCTGGTTGGTGCCCCAGAGATTTGAAAGGAAAGAAAATGCATACACAGTTGAGACAAATCTTCAGAATACATAACAAAACATGAAACTAAAATCATGTCTCCAACTCCAAGGGCATTCCGTTCTATTTCATGTACCCAACTCAGTTTTGAAAACAGAAGAGGCTCTCAATGAAATGTGCTCTTTAAATTGACTCTCATACCCAGATTAATAGTTTAACTGGAAACTTTACAAAAGGTCTGACCTACTGTCCAAAAGAATGGAATTTTGTCTAACTTTCAAGCAACTTTTGTCAGTTTCACTAATGAACATCAAGTAATCATAACAAATTTCAATACCAGCTCCACATCTGTATTAGACAATCATTAAAGACATGTTTTAATATTTCTGTTTTAAAAGGCAATAAGAAAAAAAATATTTACATAATTAAATTCAATACTTAATGCTACCTTGCTCTTCCCCCAATGGCAGTGATTGCTGTCAACCCTAGAACATTGCATATTACAACATAAGCATAGAGGACATTAGTAAGAAGAGCCCATGCTTTGTTTTTTAACCCATTATAAAACCGTAACATCCTATATGGAGTTAAAAACAAATTCATTTACAGAAAATAAAATGAAAGGGTGTCCCCACAGATAAAAAGAAATCCTTTCAATAAACACAACAAAGTTTTCAAAATATAGTTATCAAATTTTGGCATAGGTCAACTGGCATGGTTCATGCCAAGAAATTCTGTGGAGAAGATGTGTAACATGGGTAGAAAAGAGAAGAATGGGGTACTTCAGCTTGTTACAGGATTAAGCTAAATGTTCAAAGCTCTCTTTATACAGAAATGGAGAAAGATTCTACAGAGCCTGATAATAAAGAGCAATTCCTAATAGCTGGCCACAGTGCACTGAATTCTTTTTTTTTCTTTATCAGTTGCTTGAGAGATACATTAGGTAATAGTACTGCCATGCTGCTGGATAATACCAGAATTGTTAAATTTATCAGTACAGCAATTTCATAGTTAAGAAAACTGCTAATAAAGATCCTAATAATCAAGAAGAGTTTTACCAGGAGCATATGAAGTCAAGTTACAGTGATGCCATAGATATTATCTCTGTGCTTTAAAATCCTTTTAGTATTTCTAGATTCATTCCACTGGGGAAAAAAAATAATCAAGATAAATCAAATACATACAGAAACACACTCACTCAAATGGCACTCATTGCTTTTTGTACAATTAAGCTTTAGTGAAAATATACATCTTAAAACAAATGAAGTACAAATGTACAAAAATCCTTGAACTCAGATAAAAAATATATATAATACAATTTGCTACAGAGATATAAAACATTTAATGTTTGCTCATCATTTCTGATGAGCATAAAATGATTTAAAGTCTGGAGGACTCCTGCTCATCATCACTGCAATCAGATTTAAAGCAGACCTGCAAGAGAAGACAAACAGACAGCTCAGCTGCAGAACTAATACTACTGTTTATTTGTGTGTTTTATGGGACACAGAAAGGCTGAGGGGGTGGGTGTTTTTCCAGCACATTTTATTCCATCCTAACTCAATGCTTTGGGAAACTCAAAGGAATCCACAATTTCAACCCCAAATCTCAAGTCATTAAAATTTAATTAAAGTTCTTTCCTTCTTTTAACTTCACAAGACAATTAACTGCAGTCCTATTGGTTCAAAACCAACTGAAAACTCTCAAACCATATTCATTTTTTAGGACTTCTCAATACATGGAATCATATCCTGGGATAATTTGAATCCTGCTGATTTTTGGCTGGAAAATACTACAGTAAGACACAGGCTTTAGCTATGTGAGAATATTAGTACACTCAACCATCCCTGCTATTCCATTACTCAAAGTGGGGGAAAAGTGTACTTGAAAAGGTGAACTAAAAATGAAAGTACTATTATACATTCCATTAGCATTGTACCATTTTAGAAAGGTGAATTGCTAGCTGAAGACAAAAGATTTCTTCATGCAATTTTAATACACAGCCTTGCTGTGGCTACTTAGTGATATGCACCTAGCACTTTTAAAATTCCATTTCTGCTTGAAAGCAAAAGTAATTTCTACCCAAGTGTTCACTATTGGAATATACTCAAGTTTCTCAAGACAATTCCTCTCTAAGTGCAGGCACACTGAGCAAGCAGAATTCTATATAACATCTTCAACTGCAAACTTTTACAAATAGTCTACTTCTTCCATCCTGTAGACAATTACAAGACATGATGTGTCTTCTTAGTGGTAAACACTCAATCCTCTGACCAAGAAATTCTTCTACTAAATAGTAGAAGTCTGTATGTAAGAAAAGGCTGTGCATTATCAGCTATGTAGAGATCTATCATGTCATTGTTTCAGTGAAGGCATTAAAATGCCTAAGATATTTTAACATTTGTTCTGTGATGCTTCTCATTTCTTTTGGGGCTATTTCTACTTATTTCCTTATTTATTGGCTAGATACTTATTTAACCTTATAAACTTATGTATTACTAGTTTTTACACAGGGCATCAATTATCTCAGAAGACATATCCACAGTTTCCATTAAAAAAAGGCAAAATATATAAGAAGCAAGACCCAAATTAACCTCTTTAGAAAATGAAGGTCTATAGCACAGCTTTTGAAAGAACGCACTACCTTTAACCCAGTAACTAGAGGAGAACAGAATGCTGAGGTAGGAGTTACAGGGATTGCCACAATTTCTGAAATGCGGTGGAGGGACAAAGCCGTAACCAAACAGATTTCAGTAGTTTCAGTATCCAGAGAACAACTTGGTTTTCCTATCACAAATTAATAATAATAAAAAAAAGAAAAAAAGAATGGAAGTTAATTTCCTTGTGACAGAAAAGAAATGCCCTTACCTCTCCACTAAAAAGTCTGTGAAAGAAGCCTCTCTTTGGCTTAGGAGACTTCTCTCTGTCTGGTGACACAGTACCATCATTTTCATATGCATTGATATCTTCAAAGCATCCCGTTTCAATCATCTTTGAAACATATAAAATATAAATGAAATATCTATAAAAGCCTATCAAACAAGTTCCAGGCATTATCTATTTACTCTGCCTGTGTACTCCTAACACTTAAAAATTCATCACCCAAACTACACCACTGTCTCTAAAAGAAGGCACAAAGCTGACATTGACCCTCCTTGTGCACTCAACCAACTAAAGGATAGCAATGAGAGCACTCTCACACAGGTAAGCATCAGGTATTCCCTTGGTTTTTTTGCATTCCTGCCTTCTGCTCATAAGGCAATGGAGAGAAGCTTTTAGAACCAGAAACACATTTTCCTTTCAGGTATTCTGTTCATTCCAGAGCAGTCCAGACAAAAAAAGGGTATTAGCTCTATGCCCTGGACTGAACTTAATTAATAAACATGACACAGGAGGAAAAAAAAGATATAATGAAGATGAGTCTCTGGACAGAAGCAAGGGAATTTGAAATCACCTTTGTCTGTGTACACAGAAACAAAATAATGAGTACAGAAAGGACAGCAGGAAGAGTGAATGCCAAAATGTAACCAACAGGCAGGGTCAGAAGGGGGGAAGTGGCTAATGCCCAAATCCAGGTGGCATTTACCAGTAAGTGCCATCCGTACCTATCTGTCACAACAGCAGGCAGCCAAATGAATATACCTTGTAGAGGAAGAGAGGGCATAAAGAGGAATAAGAAGAAATGAAGCCTGCATTTTTTGTAAGCCATGGCATTGGGTAAATTGTGGAATGGTGAGAGAAAGTCTTGAGACGCAAAGATTTGAGGGAATGGTGAATAATGAATTAAAAGAAAAAATAAGCACAAATGTACAATGAAATCTACAGTTCTTCCTTGAAGAAAAGGAATTGCCATCACAAAAATTCCACAATTACTTCCAACTTTATCCTTCTCTGCAGGGTTAGTTATTAGGCCACAGTGCATTTTTTAATGACTAGATCATATTCTGAAGTTCAGAATTACAACATAGTATAGGACATACTTCTTTCTCCAAGGTTCACTGTCTCTCAGTGAAAACTTTCTATGTCAAATGACAGCTTTCCAAATATCCTTCTTAATGCAATGCAAAAAAGCAAAAGGAAAACAAAAGGGAATGTACTTTTTTCCTCCAAATTGTTCAGAAATTGCTTCTTTTTCTGTTCAAGCTTTAAATAAAATGCAGTCATACTGAGAGAGAAATGACACTAGGAGAATTCAAGACAATAGTAATTTCAGAAAGTCACGAATAAATTATAATGGGGGGAAGGCATTCATAACAAATTTAAGTAATTGTTACTGAGTGCTCTTGCTGAAACAGTAAACAGGATTTGGATTGTATGCAGAGGCAGAAGAATTCGAGTACGCTATGCAGACTACTAGAATATTTATTCACTAGGTACACAAAAAAACTTCTAAGGGAAAGTCTAACTCAACTGATATTGAACTGTTTGTTTTGAAACCTTGAAAAAGATGAGTCTGCAATTCTGTATTACTGTCACTTGGATACTCTATTGATACACAGGCTATACACAAACAGCTTGCACTGCACCTATTTGCTTTTGAACACTTGGAATAACATCCCATCCCTCTCCTGTGAACAGCAGTACTGACTAACATGTGACTGAAGAACAAGGAGAGGGTGGTCCTACTGATACTAATACTGTTCTGCAAGCTGTGCCTATGATGACAAGATGCCAGAATTTGTTTAGGCAAATTTGCCATAGTGTACAGTTTTTGGGAAGTTGTCTGTATTTGCAGAATTTATTTATTTTTTTCTGAAGCCTGTCAGCAAAGAATTCTAAAGCAGAAACCCAGAAACCTCTTTACATCTCCTAGAGAAAATCATTAAAATTTTATATTTTATTAAATATTCTATACTGCTGTAGTAAAAAAATAATCTTCTATGAAATGTACATTACCTCATTTTGCCAAGGGATTGAGACACAACCTGTCACAAATTTGGAATAGAAGTCATCATCTGTGGTATCCAGGTTCACTCCTTTTACTGTTGAGAACTGCTCAATGTCCAGGACATCTTTACAATAAACGGCACGTGGCTGCAGTACAATACAAGATTGCTTCATTAACGTTTTTGGATTTGCAAATTTAAAGTTTGGTTTTATTTTCCCTAGATGAGCAAAAGGGAGCAAAACACCTGCAATTTTACATTTCATATTGCTGATCAGCAAATTACACTATTTCATGGAACAGAAATACAAAGATTCTCTTCATAAGGCACCTGAGCAATTCTATCCATCCTGCAAGTAACAGGAAAGAAATATCAAAGCCAGAAATAGCTTGTCTGGATCTCTTAATGGTTGTCATAATTCACTCATCTTCTGTCACCTTCCTTTCAACTCCAGAGTGTTTTCTTCAAAGCTACTCCTCATTTCTTCTGCATCTGAGCAATGGAAGTGGACTTTGAAGGGCTAAAAAACCAGCTACAATTTCCCTAGGGAAATACCACTATTGCAAATTGTTCTGTCACAAAACAATTAGTTATCATCAATAGCTACAATGGTATTCTCCTACCAGTCTAACTAACTTTAAAGGTTTTTCTTGAGTTCATATGATTGCAAACATAGAATTATGACAGTTCTTGCCTTTTTAGATACTAATCAAATCTGTCTCACCTACTTACATCTGGCAAGAATGGAGGTTCTAACATGTTAGCTTCCAGCCTCTTGAAGTTGATGTTCCTGAAAATAGGATGTTGCTTTACAACAGCAGCTCCTCCTTCAGTGCAACCCAGTCGTTCCCCTGGATTTTTAGCAAGTAACTGCAGATACATGGAAAAAAAGCTGATCCATGATACAATCCCACAAAAAAAAAAAACCAAAAAACAAAAAACTACATACAATGTCTTTCAATCTGTTTATTTTGCTACTTGGCCTCTTATTAGGTAAATTTATCATGTATCAAAATTAACTGGAAACCCAAACAACTACATTCTGGGAACAAATATATTTTCAATAGACAAAAGAATCCCTGAAAGCACACGATTTGAAGATTATTTCCAAAGTTACATGAAAATATTTTAATTGATGCCATGTTGAGAAGACTTTACAGTACAGACTTTGCAGTAGGGTTTCCTTTCAGGAAATACAGACTTATATTTTTTCCTATAGGCTTAAATAATGCACATATCTTGCATAAAATAGTACAGAAAACTTGTGAAGCTTTCTGTATAAATTTAAGAACAGACAAGATAGAAAAAAAAAGCCATTGTCTTGTAGATAATGTTTTAGGTGAAGATACTGGTGTACTACTCAGCCACTTGTTCCCACACAGTATCCAAGTTGAGCATGCTATTGTACTCCACCTATAATTACAAGTGGTCCAAGCAATACTAGACTATTTCATTCATGCGATGAATAATCAATTTATGCAGCTTTTGTCCTGAGAAAAGTTCTGAATTCTTGAAGTTTCATAATTGAACAGTTCATGAACAATCACAAACTTTCATGTGAACTAAAGAAAGCTTTAAGAAATCCAGTTCTGAAAAAAAATCAAGATTTTGAAATAAAGTAGTTGGTCTCTTTAAAAGTATTAGAAATTTAATTTTCAAACCTCTATGTCTCTTCACCCACCATCCTGCAGATGGATTTTGCCTCCTCTGAAAACTTGTCTGAGTATGTTTCCTGGTCTTCCTTTACTCTCCGGTCAATCTCATCCCGTTTAACTCTTTCCTTATGCTTCCTGAATGGAGACTGTCCTTCAATCATTTCATAAATCAAACAGCCAAGACCCCACCAATCCGGACTGAATGTATACTTTTCGTTTTTGAGCACTTCTGGAGCTACAAAACAAAAACAAACACACAATGTTTCACTTTAAATTGACTAATTGCATATATTGGAAAAACTCTCAGGTACTCTCTTTGGATTCTGGACAGACATGTTTGTGTGACTGCTCTGTTCTTCAAAAAGCTTTAATTGTGAGAAGTCTGTTTATATTCAAGAGAAAAAGTTTATTTCTTTAATGCTTAAACCCAGTATTCTTTAGAGAATGAAAAAAAAAACCAAACTGAGAATGAAGTTTTCCAAAGCATGGAAAGAAATGTACTGTCACAGTAATTTCTCTGTTTACCTGTAATCATAAATCTCTTTGAATCTCAGAAAGAATTACGTGCTTTCTTAAAGTTCTGCCCAAACCTAGAATTTTCAGATAAGTTTTCATCAGTAGGCTTATAATTAAGTACTAACATCTACAAATGCATATAATAACCTTTCTTCTTCCCATAACATGTCTAGTAAGTACTCCAGGTTCAATACAGTTTTTATATTCACAGAAGCAAATTTTCTGGTAAAATGTAACTAGCACAGGATGCTTTACATACCCATGTAACCAACAGTCCCAACACGTCCTCGGACAGTTTCACCTTCTGGGATCTGCACAGCTAATCCAAGATCTGAAATCCTGATATGTCCTATTTATATTAAAATAAATTACACATAGTCAGCAAAAATAATGAAGTATTATCACTCTTAAAATGAAAAATTTCTATTGCACACCTCATAAAAAAACCCACTGCAAAATATCAAAAATATTCATATAGCCCTAAGTTTATGTAACTTGAGAGCATTTTATTCAGCTCCCCCTTAAAAACGTAAAGAAGGAGAGGCACAGATATAACTGATTTTCTGAAGGTCATACAAAAATAATTTGCTCTTAAGCACTCTAATTCCTAGGTTTGGCATAGGCTGCTGTTCTTGGACAAATAGAAATGCTCATTTCAGATTCTGTATCTATGCATCAGATACTTGTGGTTTTCCGTTCTGTATATCCACCACAAGCACTTAGCTTTCTGTCTTCTTAATAAAACTTCAAATTAACTTAATTTATTCCAAATGAGAAAAAACTGTAGCCTGTACTGAGAGAGCTTGCTTTCCTGTAATGAAGTACCCCAATAATGCCAAACACAAGTACTTGGAATAGCTATCCCCACTTCCACCCCAAACCAAGAGTAGCGCAGTCAATAACCTACTCAGAATTGTTTATATTGTAACATGTCAGTTCAATTATGGGATTTCCTCTTCTCGTTAATCACTCCTAAGTGGATAACAGCTTCTATTGCACTTTATCAGCCAAATTTCTCAAGTTGCTGACCTTCTATCATGCATGGCCTTTACAGCTGTACCTTGAACACAGAAATCATCTGGCAATAGACTGGTTTGTCATGCACTGCTCAGTGGGGTGTCGCTAAAGGACACAAAATGATTTACATGAATGTCTCTCAGTGTTAGAACAGGAAAAAGTCACTTTATTTTCTGACTCCAGTATTTGTAGTTTCTTGACAATGGTCAGGGATTGGACAATCAAGCTACTACTTTCCCAAGCACACTGGTCATGCATAACATACATCAAAAGACGTTTCTTAGAAGGAATGTGATAAACAACCCATGTTTCTAGAACTTTCATGGGAAAGTAACTAAAACTATGAGAACATTATCAGAAGGCTTTAATTTTCCAGGGCGACAGTGGGGAACCAGTCCAAGCAGGGCAGTGGGAATAAATCCACCCCATCTACTCTCCCTTTACATTCCCACAGACAGATATAGTTCTTTGTTGGATAGACTCATGAACTGTTTCATGTACATTCAAGGTATTTCAAGGCAAGAATTGTATTGCCATTTTAATTTAAAAACCCATAACGTACTTTCTTAATAAAAAAGTAAAAGTCCAGACAAGACAATTACATTTTCAATTCAATTTTAAAACAACTTGTAGAAAGATTTATTGCCAAAAAAAAGAGCAAAACCCACACTTAATTTTCTAATTATTAGTTATAAGGACAGGGATACTGTTTACAGAGACAGCACAGACTCACAGAATGATTCAGGCTGGAAGGGACTTTGGAAGGTATCTAGTAAAACCTTCTGAGCAAGCAGGCAGCTCAAAGTGTCCAAGGTTTTTTAAATACTTATTTAGAAAGCCTCCAAGAGTGGACACTGCATCACCTCTCTCAGTAGCCCATTCCAATGCCCAATTAGCCTTTGTGCATATATGCTGTGGCATTCAAAAAGTTCTACAGCATTAATATTAGTTAACAGCATTCCAGTTTCTTATGTACATATGTTAGATAATCAGGGGATGGAGAGAGAGAGTGGAGAAAGTCAAGTACCACTCTACATACTGGTTAGAAATAAGTAAATGCTCTGGAGCAGCAAATGCTATTTTAAATACATTCAGATGTTCTTCTACTCCCTGACATCTGATGAACCCCTTTTCAAGTGCAAGATCTGAGCTCCTGAAGTGATTTTCTAATTAGTCCCCTGTGCTCTCTGGAACTGGATCAAAATATCCCTGGCAGAGAGGAAGCATTCTAGTGCAGTCCTGCCAGGCTACATTTTTCCTCAAAGAAACCTTCAGCTTTTCCAAGACATCACTGGAGAGAAAAATTAAAGAATGCATTTGATGTCTAGCAAAGCTTTAGCTCTTGGAAAGTGACTTCTCTCAAGCATCATCTTTTTTGAAATTTATCAGTCAGAACATGCTGACTTTAAAAAAAAAATACTGTGGTAATGGCTTTAAAAACAGTTTTTCCTCAATGAAAATGCTCAGTTGTTACAAGAACAAACTTGTAATATTCATCCATGGCTTAGAAGAGAATTCCTGTACATGTTCCACAGTCAGTTCAAAAGATTCTGGTAATGACTTGCATATGAAGTCATTAAAGAAAATTAATTTGGCTTTTGACAAACAGAAGACTAGAAACATTTCTTCATATTGTTTGTACTTCCTTGATTCCTTCCAGCCACATATGCATCAGGGACCATCAGACATCTTTTAGTCAAAATGTTAAAATATAAATACTTCAGATTTCTTCTTACTATCTAAACATTCTGGTTTACTAAGTAAAATTCTGGTCCCCATCTAACAAATCATGTTTCCACAGCTGACGAAAAGACAAACAAAACAAATCCATATAAAAGTTTTTGAGATTTTAAATCAAGAGGAGGGGGAAAAGGAGGAGCAAAAGTGAAAAAGTAGCCATTTGAAGTTGAAAATTGGCCTTTCAAATATAATCATGGCTGACCCCCAAAGTTTTCCCCTGCTTTCTAAAAAGCACGGCAGCATTTTCTTTGGTAAATTAAGATTCATCAATTAGGTCTCTTATAATGAAGAAATCCCTTACATATCTGGCATGGTGTTAATTAGAGGTGTAATTCCTGATTTCAAAATTAATTTTAATTTTTACTTACCACAGTCATCAAGAAGTATATTCTCAGGCTTCAAGTCTCTACAAATAAAATAACAGAAATGTGAATTAGACAAAGACAAAACTATTAGCCCTCAAGTGCAACAGATTCAACAGAAGGTCTCTTGGTTCTGACGGAAGCAATTTTTCAAGTTCCACCTATAAACAAAAAAAACCTGTGAAGCTGATGGCCTATAATGTGAATAGTTTAACCAGAGAACTCAAGTTATAATGTATATTGTTAATTTGATTTTTCTTTTTATTTTTTTTATATATATATGTGCATTTGTGGTATGTATCAGTAAGCATGTGGACTTGAGATGTCTCTTTGATTTATTCTACCATAAATATAAGCCAGAAATAGCCATGTAAAACCCAGTAGTTAGCTAAAGAATCAGTTATTGGAGTAGATTATTAAAAACAATATTCTTATATACATGTATACATACAGTTGTGACAAGAAGAAGAGACTGAATAAAAGAAAAGGTTACACAGTAGAAGTATAAAGAAAGTATTCTCAGTCCACCACTAAGTTTGTTTTGCTTGTTCTGTAATATTAATGCATACGGGGTTAAATGATGTAGGTACAGAGACAAAACAGAGCATTGAAATCATACAATCTCAATTGCAATGCATAACACTTCTGATAGTTTCATTAATTCAAAAGCAATAATAAGTTTATTGGAAGAATCTGAAATTAAAACAGAAGAAGACTATGCCTATTCAGAAGGTTGTGACTATCCTGTTACCCTTGTGAGCACAGCATGCAATGCAGCCAGGGACTGCTAGAGCCCTCTGTGAACTACTTCAGAGTGGGCAGGAATACAATCCCATACTCCTAAAACTTATTTATTAAAATAATGAATTAATTTGCTTTGTAAATCATAGTTTAATTTAATTTTACAAGCAAATCTTGAATCAACTTTATACTGTTCTAAGATATATCAAGCATCAAGATACAAATCAAGAAGCAAGAAGACATAAGAGATATATTCCTAGGGATATGCCATGAAAAGGACAACTAAACAATTTTTTTTTATTCTTTTCCTACAAAATTAAAATACAAACTTGTTTTAGTAAGAAACAATATGTTCAATGTTGAAGAGATGTGGAAAAGTACAAGTAACTGTAGATGACACTCACCTGTAAACAATTCTCTCCCTTTGCAAATCCTCCAGACCACAGCACAGTTCTGCAGCATAGAAAATAGCCCTTTCTTCATCAAAGCCAGGATTTCCCATGTTATATATGTGAAACTTCAGATCCCCTCCATTCATTATGGTTAATACTAAACACAGGGCATCTTTCGTCTCATATGTATAGGATAAACTAACCTAAAAATAGGGATGGTGAGAACACAGCCATTATTCATTCATAAACCCCAAAACAATTCACAAATCTTTTTTCCAATAAAATCAACTTATGAATCCTTTTTCAAAGCAAAAAGAACTAAACATGCAAGTGGAAAATCACTCTGGCAGAGTACTGGAAGACACAAAGGAATTGAGACTAATTTGCCTGTATACACAAACCAAACACGCAACACAAAAGCTTAGTGGCAAATCTGTTTAGATACCCGAGAGCTCCACCCAGAAAATAACTTTACTGATGATGCCCCTCAGTTGCATGTTACCTGTATTACTTTTTGTCCAGATAGCATGAGCATATTCCTTATTTTATTGGTATCTCAGGAATTATGCACTGCCAAACCATCTTCCTGAACTACAAGACTCAAAACTGCCCTAGAGAAACCCAATTTATTTTAAATCAAATGTATAGTTTCTATTCCTACCCCTGCCTCTTCGCCACCCCCCTCCAGTAACTGCATATTTCCCTGATTTAGAACTTGCCAACAGTAAAGACTCAGTACAACTCCTCAGAGTCTTTCTTCCCACTGTACTTGAAATGTGGTGCTAATAGGCAAAGACAAAGCACCACTTTTTTCTTTTTTCAGGTTTTAGGTAAAAGATTCTAAGTCCATTTAAAGTTTTAAGGTAGACTTGTGAATTAAAAAAAAAGCCCTCCCCATTTAGCACAATGTAATATACTACAAAATTAAACTGTTTAAGTTACAAATTCATTTTCAACAGAAAAGCTATGCTACACAGATGATCATCTGGTTAGGATCTTCAAAATTACCTAACTTGTACTAAGAGCAATGGAATTCAAACATATACTTAGCTTACATTAGGGTAAACAAACTAGGTAAAAAAATAATTTTTTTTTACTCAATATATGTATTTTAAATGCAGTATAAGTAAATAATTGCTTTAATCAATTAATAGATCCAAACACTTCCTTCAGAAGCATAAATATAATACTAGAAAATAAAACAAAAATAAATATAGAAATCAGCTACTCAAGATGTAGATTCCCACTTGGTTTTAACCTGATGTGTCCAGCTGTCACTGTGTAACCTGTGACAGAGGCATGACAAGTTATCTACCCACTTCCAAACCAGTATTACTGCAAATGCTAGACCTAGATCTTCTCTGTTGCATAAAAAACCACCATTGGATAGCAAGAGGAAAATAACTCATGCTCATTTTTGTAAAGCAATTTTAATTTCAGCTTTTAATTTGCAGTGTTTACAGATGCTGAAAAAATGTTAATCAGAAACAGAAGTTTCACTGTTTTAGTAATTTATGGATAAATTCAGGTACTCTCTGGATTCAGTTTTAATCAGTTTAAGCCCAGAATCCTTGTGCAAAAACAACTTTAGCATATTTATACAAAAGCATAATTTACAGTAGTTTAAAATATTAATATATCTGGCCAGCAGGTTTTTCATTTTTTTTGTAGCTGGAAGTATTCTACAGTGAGGTTTTTTTAATACATACAATATATCAGAAAATATCTACATACATATTTTATATACATATCAATAATAAAATATAAATAATATAAATATTTTCACTATCCTCTAAAACAGGTGCTTTAAAATCCTCTGAATAGCAATACATATAAGTATTGTATAATATAAGTAAATGGATTTCAAACCAAAGCAAAATGTACTTGAAATTAACATTTAAATGACATTTCAATTAAAAAGTAAACATTACCTGGGGAAAGTTTTACTTGGTGTATCTTTGAACATTTTTTTCTTTCACTGCTTAGTAATTAGAGCTACTAACAGACCATAATTTACATAATAGCATCAGGTTTAGGTATTAAGACTAAGATTTCCATTACATGGAAGTGCCATAAAAAGTTAATTGTTTTACATCCAAGATACCTCTTTAAGCCTTGTTACACAGCAAAGCAATATAACCTGAATCAATACACTATTAAAATGTCATTTTTATCTCAAAATATAACAGCAACAGAGTAGCAAATGCTATGAAAATACCTCAGGATATAAAAACTCAACTATTAAACAGAAGACAAAGATTCAGTAGCATCAGCATGCTGAAATACAGCCTTATTTCTGGATGTGACAAATAAAGCAGGTGGACCAAAAAAAAATCCCTGAGCACAGAACTATTCCAAATCACACATAAAACATATTTGTCATTGTATCAATCATTTCTCTTTACAGTCATGCACTCCCTAAATCAATTTAAAAGAGTTTTGTGCCTACAAGTTCCTGGAAGAGACTGAAATGAAGTAAACAAAATGAGATAAATTTCTGAAAATAGATTGGAAGTAGATACTTACTACAAACCTACTATTCACTTTTTCTAGAATCCTTTTTTCATTTAGAGCCATTGATTCTCCTTTCCTCTTCTTTATTCTCTTTTTTTCCAGCTTTTTGCAAGCATACATTTTTCCTGTTGCCCGTACTTGACAGGCACACACCTACAAAAACAAGGATGGTGTGTCAGATGCTTGAGGTTTTTTAAATTTTTTTTTTAAAGACTAAGTTTAACTTTCTTTTCAAACTCTTTAATGGTCTCAGAAAATTACGGTCTGTAAGCATCAATACAGAGCCTTCCCTCATGAAACAACTTTAAAGGTTCACAAAAACTGTAACAGAAGTAGAGAAAGCAATTATACAGAGGCAAACACATTTCTTTGGGGTTAAAGAGTTTAGTAAAACTGTGGATCCTGTGTTAGTGAAACAAGTTACTACAGTAATGCTGTTAAGTGTCTTAGTACCTATTAAGGACACATTCACATCACAATCAAACAGGAGAACCATAATGGTAATTTAGTAGCATGCCTTCTCCTTCCATATTGGGCTCTGGTTAAAATAAGCATGGGGGGCAGTTCAGTGAATTATAAACAGAATTAATAAAACCTATAGATTTTAAATTAGGTTCATGAATACTCAACATAATAAAAAAATTGCAACTAAATGCTCATTTCCAAATGAAATTTCTAAGCAGAAGCAACTGTTATCAGCCAGTTTTCTGCAGCTTTGTGCAAGACCTACAATGCTCAAACAAAGACATCAAAACCATTTGTATCAACAATAGTTTGCCAGGTGATGTGTCAAATCTAGATTTATAGAGACAAGAGTAAAGCAGACTCTTCTTTTATTCCTTAAAAACTTCCTTGCAGAAATATACTTTTGCACTCACCTCTCCAAATCCACCTTTGCCTAGTACTCGGTAATGCCTAAACGTGTGTTTGGTTACTGGCTGCCTGATTAACAGAAAGAAACAATTATTGCAACAGGAATTACAAATATTAGTAATCCCTCCCCACCCCGAGGTCTGTCTTCATTTTCTCCTTTCTATTCTGACGTATTTCTGAACAAATGTTGCCTTAACATCATGTAGAAGTACTATAATAAGCTGCCACAGGCCATTTACCACCTCCTGTTGCCTCCCTTAATTGACACGCTGGCATGCAGAGTGCACTTCAATGGGATCATGCTTACAATGTGGCATTTAAAAGGTAAACCATTTCTGATTTCACTTTGTTTTTTCACAAAAGAAAGAGCTGTGATATGCAAGAGCAGTTCAAGAACCAAATTGTTAAGGTATTGCGGCAGAGAAGGAGGAACAGATAACTGGAAGCAATAGAGCTGTTGACCACTCTATGCTAAAACTCTCCTAAATGTGTCAGAGCAGGACTATTACAAGGTGGTAGGTTTTTCTGTGTTTTGCTTTAAACGAGCGTTCATTGTTACTGCAGCTTTGTTCTCAGGACAAGAGTGGAGGTTCATTTAGTAGAAAATCTGAGTAACATACCTAGTTTTCTTACTGGCTTTTGCTACCAAAATAGACACTGGATAACTGGAATTTACAACAAAATTAGAGCTCAAGCACCTTAATGTTAGAATATATGATCACAATACCCAGGGGGCTGAATTTCAATTGATTTGTAACAATTTCAGCCTTCTGAAAGACTCTGGACACTCATCTAGTATTGATATGGAAGGCCAAACTAGATTCTGAGATATATATATAAATGCATATATATATCTTGCTATCTTGTAATTATTAGATCTGTATCTATACCACCCTAAAAAAACCTAACAGTTAGCCTTATTAACCATTAATTAGACCAAGTTTGAAACTAAAGGATGATAGTATTCCCAAGAAAGACTGGTATTCCACTGCACACTTGACAGCCAAACACTGCTGAATTTGCATTTACCCAATACCACTTAAAGAGTTAAGATTTACCACTTACAGGCTACAGACAGACAGTTCCATTGGAGTATTGGTTTTCTTGCTGTCCATCAACAGCATCCTTTACATCTTGTCTTTCAGATCATAATTTCTTAAGACAGGCAATCTCATTTAGCATTCATCTCTACAGCATTTCCAGCATAAAAACCAAAATTTTCCACAAAGCAAAGCTAAATTATAAAGCAAGCAGAAATAAACTTACTTTTCCAGCCATTTCCACTGTAAGAAACGGGAAAAATACACACTCTCCTGGTAAGCTTCAAAAGGTCTTTTGCTTAGATATTCATGGACAATTCTAGCAGGAACATAAACAGAAAAATAAAATCCATCTTATTCTGAAAAAGGCTCCTGTTGAAGCAGGAGGTGCTATCAATCTACAGACATGTATTTAAACATATTGATGAAGCTGTAGGCAGAAAAACATCACCGTATCTACAAGTTTTAACATATTCTTTGGACACTGGTAAATAAAATTTTATTTTAGGATTTGATATTGAAATGCAAAATGCCATATCTAAACCATGAACACCAAGTACCTTATCATTCCCTTAAAGAAACACACCAAGATGGAGGTGGGGAAGGAAACAAGTCATTCAAACTGTAGTCAGGTATTTATTAGACAGAGGAAAGGGAATGACCTACATGAGACAGTCCATCTGAGACATGTTTTATGAGGTGTTCTCACACAGCCCTTTCCATTTTAAATCTCAGCTTGTTACAAAGCATGCTATTTCTGTTGCCAGGGAGATGACCCAAGCAGTGACAAAACCTGTAGTCATCCGTCAGACGTGATCAAGCACGCCTTGAAGAACCAGAAATATTAGAAACTTAAAGGCTTTAGAAAGACATGTAACACTCATAAATACGTACCATCCCTCCAAGAAAAGCCTCCCCTGCTACTACTGTGTGAAATACCACTTCATGACTGCAGAACGAAACCAAGTTGTATTGTTTTGTGTTAACTATCACAACTAATCCTCCAATCAGCCATCTTAATTCCACATAAGTGTTGGCCTCAGTTAAACTTGTTTTCAAGAACCTTAAATGTCTAACATTGTTCATAAACCTTTCAAGCTTCAACTTATAACTTCATACTTTTCTGAGTACGTTCATCATGGAAGAGAGTCACTCAAAAAGTAAGAATACAATAAAGAGAAAAACCATTTATCTTACAGAATTCTTGGTGGCAGACAACAGTGTGATTTTATGTAAAAGCAGCATTAAAGAAAAAGCTCTGCAAAAGTCAAACATCTCAATCACAGCTGAAGGAAATTTAGTCCTTTAATAAATCTGTTCCAAGTTTCTTTCTTTACTCATTTCAGGAACTCAGTATTTCTGGATATAACAACTTCATCTTTCACTTTCCTTAGAAACACACAAATTTCTCTTGTAATTCTCAAATTTAGCATTAGGCATTTTTAACTTACCTAGTACAGTCCATGAAAAGATCCTTAGAAGGGTTCTTTTCTAGTCTTGCTCTACATTCATTTACTGTTTCCTGAGGTATTTCTGGCAAGTGTGCTGCAGACTTAAAAAAAGAAAGGATAGCAACAATGAAAACAGTTAAGTCAACAGAAAAACTAAAAGTTTGGTATTCAAAGATAAATTAAAATTTTTAATACAGGAAAAGGAAAAAAAGATTGACTAAAGAGAAAATCAAGGAAGTATTTGAGCAAATTTTTTATTTATTTCCCATTACAGAACAATTAATTGAAAGTTATTTCAGTTATTTACTATTTCAGTATCTGGGGGAACAAACTTGGCAATGAGTCAAACTTCTTTTTCTTTCCAAAAAAAAGCAACTAACCTCTTTGGCTTGGCAGGATGGAAAGGAGAAAGAAACACAAACACAAGCTGGGAAAATATTTCAAACCAGACCAAAGAAATCTGGGGTCTTTTGAAAAATGCATGTAACTTATGGTAGTCCCAAAGAAATTCTCAAAAAGATGTGTCAAATTTAGATTCTATCTTCTTTTAAGGCATCTTCAAGACCTTTTGTATACCATGTACAAAGCAAGAGAAGCAAAAGGAGCATCTATTAATAAAAAGTAAAGATCTAATTATGCACCCACAGAAAAGCTTCCACTGGATACCAAAAAAACCTCTTTGATAAACGAAAAAATCAGCTATTAATGATTACCATGGAAAACTGAAAGTAACAGAATGCTTCAGAAGAAAACAGCATTTCACTTTGTGAAAACCTGCAGCAATTCTGAAAATTTACAGCAAACTAACCAAGGACACACAGGAGTCTAAAAGACTTCAGACTACAACACCCTTAGTTAATTTGCTTTTAAGTTTTCTTTAGGTGTCAAATGGAAAATAAATTGTAATGATAGTAGCTATAAAAGCAGAGATCAGTCCAGTTTTTTGATTTCAAGTTGACTGAGCAGAATTTTAGAAGGCAGCACACCTCTCAGAAAGACAAAATTGGGATCAATGAAGTTTGAAAGTCTATTTACTAAAACCAATGCAACCACTGAGATCTCTCTAATTATCTGACACTTACAAAGCACTCGAGAAAATCTTTTGCAGTATATTTACCCCATTAGTGAAGTACGTCTCTAAAACTTTGAGGCCACAGTCTATGCGCTTTTCATCTGAAGATACCTCATATTCTGCCTAGGGGAATGGAATTGAAAATTATATTATGTTCTGAGCCACGTGGCATCTTTTACATAATGATAGGTAAATTTTATAATGAATAACACAATACTCCTAATATAAAAGAAACAGAAGGCTATATATTGAAACATGTATGAAGAACAGTCCTAAGGATAAAAACAACGCATATGGAATTTAATCTTTAGAAAATGTATGAAACCTAACAATTAGTCTAAGTGCAATTACAGAAATTGCATCGTAGAGGTTAAACTAGATCAATTACAATAAAATAGTATTTATGTAGTATTGTAGGACAGAATGACCCAGATGGAAAATAATTGAGAGTACAATAATCAGCTTTTTCTTCACTGTACTTTCTTCCCTTCATGTATTATTCTTTGCTACAGTTTTGGGTAAAACCAGGATAAAACTACTTTCTACAAGCTTAAAAATGAGATCTAAACCAAACCCTACATCATTCTTTGAGAAAATGAACCTGAGTAAATACAAATTTTGAAAGTTTTTGACTTAGTAACATCTGGTAGTGGGATGTAGAAAAAGAGAATTGTGCAACACAGTGCATTTTACAGATAAACAACTGGCAGCTGAACAGAGCTCCAGAAGTAGCTACTTATGGAAAAACCCACAACCAACAAATCACCACACAGATACTACTACTGAAAAATTCCAAGAACTACTTACTATTAATAATTTTATGGAATAATTTAGAAGGAGATATCAGAAGTTACAACATTTAAAGACAACACAAAGTCTGGGGAAAGACGAATTAGAACAAAGCATCTCAAACAGCGACACGTATTAGGTTTGTTAGCTGGGCCAACTCAATTGGAGCTTATTTCATATTTCAGTATGTAAATGCATGCACCTAGGAACAAAAAATATATGGCAGACTTCCAGAATGGAGGATTGTATCAAAGAAAAGAACAGCTGGGCATATTGGGACAACAGTCTTTAGAAACCTCATTGGACATGACAAGTAATTGATCTAATCAAAAGTTATTTACCTTTATAAGGAAAACTAGAACACTGAAAAATGACAGTTCAAGAGTCAAACACACACAATACTGGAAATAACAGAATCCCTGATTTCCAGTTCTGCCATTAATGACAACTAATCCTCACTGACTCACTACTAAATTATCAACATCTTTTTCTATTGAGACACTTCAGCACGCCACTCAAATCTATCAATCCAAATGCAAAACATTATTTCTGCCGTTCAATTCCACAACAAAAAGTCTAAAGCACAGGAATTCTTCTGCAACTGAAAATCAACTTGAACAAGTCAAAAATGTTTATCAGCCCAAAGTTCAGCAGTGTATTTAGCACCTTTGACACTAATTTAATACAAATAGTTAGGCATGCTATTTTACATGGATAGTGTAATTTAAAAGGAAGCTTGAGAAATGGCCTTTCCAAATAATTCTGTAACTTACAGGGAAGTTTGAGCTGTTACCCATTCTTTTTCATATATGAGTAACCCTGTCCCTAGCTAGCGAAATGAGTCACTAGATTGGATAACTCTAATTCTTTACTTTAACTTCTGTCACTTACATTCAATTATTTCACAACTCTTCTTCCTGTAAATCCAAGCTGACTCCAGACTTTTAGGTCACACCTTCCCAAGAACTGGAGCTTACCAGGCTCAGTATTCAGTACAGGTAGACAACATAGTATTGGTACTACCTTGATTTTGGACTCCTGAAATAATCACACTGCAGAAATCACATTGCTTCACGTAAAGAGTCAGAAAACTCTATTAACAATGATGCAAGGTTTTTAAGGCTATGACATTAAATTTTGGGAATTTTTTTTTCCACAAGACTAAGTCTAAAATTTCTTTAACAAAAGCTAAACAGCCTCAGCTTTTGCTTCTCTGTATTTTCTTCTTTGTATTGCCTTACAAAGAATATCAACAAAAAAACCCCTCAACTCCCAAAAGAACAAGCTTGCTGAAGTCCAGTGTTGAAGTCCAGTCCACAAAAGGGAATCAGGCTAACTCAAGAACCACCTGTAAGAGATGGTAGGTATTTTATCTCACACCCTTGATCAAGACAGGATGCTAATTTCAGATTCTGAGAGTCACTAAATAAAGGCTATCTTGTTTCAGTGATTCCCAAGAATAATTCTTCACCCTGATTTTTTAAATGGAAGTTAAACAACAAATAAATAAAAGTAAATTGTGAAATCATTCCTTACATCAGATTATCTCAGCTATGCCACTCTTCGTTAATTCACAGAAGTGTTGCAATCCACACAACATTATAGGTTACATATTTCAAAACAATTCAAATTTTTCAGTTAGTGAAAAAGTTACTTCTTAGAGAGTTTTACCCGAAAATGACATCTGTAGAGCAAGGACACACCTGCTTTACAGTCACGCCTAAGATTCATTCTCTTTTGTGCTGCCAAAGATTCTGCTACTGCTTATCTAAGACATGAGGACTAAAATGTGTACAGAAGTTGTAACCATTAAGGGTACATCCACAGTTGTCAGTGCATGGCACTCATTAAGGGCTCTGGTTTATATTCACTTCAGCAAGAAAGCTTCACTGTTCTGGATTTCCATTCAATCTGTTCCGTCTCCAACTGTCAATCTAGTCTCTGGAATTTGGTGCTCAAACAGCTCCTGGGAGTCACAAAAGTGGGGAGTAAGCCCAATAGCACACAGATTCATTGACAAATGTAAATAATTCCATTTATTTGACACTCAAATTCCTTTTCAGCTGATCTAGTGTCTCAGTTTTTACTCCCACGGAGAAAGGAAGTTACAGTGAAATGGGAGGCACAGAAATAATCCCGTGTACATTCCTTACACCCTGCCTCTTCCAGAGCCATCTTGCAATCCAATATCGTACTTTGGGATGCATGCAAGCAGCAGCACTACCCTACTTCTGTCTCCTTTGGTCATTTGTTCTCTGTGTGTAAGAACAAAAATGGCTGCAATGAGAAAACCTGTTCTTTCAGCAGCAATCTCAATTTGAGACTGTATCATATTGTTCTTGGATTAACTGTGAGGGACAAAGAATCAAAAGCTCTGAGCTGTTATTCTCTCCTCTTAAGGGATGCCTGCCTAATCTTCTCATTACTCTCCCCCTCCACAAGAGGGTTTTGGACTGAAGATTTTTTGCGAAATATAGCTGTGGGCACACTTCCTTCCTTCCCTTGTTCTTCAGCATTAGATATCAAGATGTAAATATATCAAGACCTTTTTCCCTTGGTCTCAAAAAAATTGGTTTTTCTCCTTCCATAGATGGTTCTCTAAATTTCCATCTCCATTGTATGGTTTTTAATTAGCACATGCTGTGTAGCCTAAGGCTTTCATGCAAGTTGCAACATTTTAAAGTATATGTTTATAACATTTTGAAGCCTGAGTATAGCAAGTAATATTCATAATACAGACATCTTTTCAGGCTCATACCAAGCAGCATGTCTTCCTAAAATTGCTTCTCTCTCTCCCATCATGCCCATTTCTGTAGCTCTGACTATACCAAGATGGCAGAAACTTTATAGTAAACACCAAACATTTTCTTTTAAGTAGCAGAGACAGTTTTTTGACATCCATCAGAAGTTACAGCTTTACAGTCAGCAAAGACTAGACCACACTACATTTTCAAGTACACAGCATTAGGAAACAGAGGTGTATAGAGATAATTAATAAAATGGTTGTGTCTTAACCACAGCAGGCAGCTAAGCCCCACACAGGCACTCACTTCCCCCCACTAAAAACCAGAAGGTCAGAAGTGAGAAATCTTACAGTTTGAAATAAAGACAGTTTGATGAAGCTGCAGTTACAAGCAAAGCAAAGTAAGAAATTCATTCATTTCTTCCCATTGGTAGGGAGATATTTGGCCATTTCCAGGAAAGCAGGGCTTCATTCTCATGGATAACGCCTATCTGGCAAATTGTAACTTCCCCCCTTCCTCTTTCTTTCCCCCAGCTTTTATTACTGAGCACAGCACCATATGGTATGGGATATCCCTTGGGTTCAGCTGTCCTGGCTGTGTCTGCTCTGAACTTCTTGCACACCATCAGCCTCCTCACTTTTAGGGCATCATGAGGAGCACAAAGACTTTGACACTGTGTAATCACTATACAGCAAGAACTTAAACATCCTTGTTATCATGTTGTTATCAACATTATCATGGTCTAAAATCCAAAATACAGCACAAAATGAGCTACAATGAAGAAAATTAACTCTATCCCAGCAAAACCAACATAAAAATAAGATATTTACATACAAGAATATATAAGCAACTGTCTACTATAGCCATAATCCATTTCTCACTGCTTACCACTGCATCCAGAAATTCAATGCATCTTTTCAAATCTGGTCTGGAATCACAGAACTGTCTGAAGAGAAGTCTTCCTATTGGCTGTTTGTCACAAAGCTGGTTATAGTCTCTTTCTGGGGAAAAAAAAAAAATAAATATCTTTATTTATTTTTATTTTTATAGTAGGATAATCATTACTCCCATCTGAGGTCAGAAAAACACCACTAAAACATGAAGATTTTACATTAACATATTTATCAAAGATAACATAAATATGCAATGATGCCAAAGAATAGTGAAACACTCTTCAGTCACATTTGTGTTCTATTGACTATCCCATTTACTAAAAACACACTGAACTATACGTTTAAAGTTAATTTGGGTTAGGGTGCAGAAAGCAACCACACTGTGAAACAGTAATACCAAAGCAAACAAGATTGTTTGGAAAGAACGAATACAAAAGGTTATAAAATCTATTAGAAGACACTAAGGAAAAATGTAAAATATATTAGCGTCAATTTAAAATGAGAGTCCTTTTTCTAATTCAAAGTTTTGTAAATCTATTCTTTAGGAACAGTTTCCTTTAACAAACAAGGAGCTGTGATACATTGTTTAATCCTCTAATAAATTTTATTTTCTCCGAAGTTCTCCATCATATTAGAAGTGTAATAGTTTTATTTTTTTGTTATTTAGCATTTAGAAGCAATACAGAGTCCTTTCCATTAACAGCACCAAACTGTTACCCTTCTCATTCAAAGGAGAGGATTTTCAGGACTCACCGATGGAGCACCGAATACCCTCACAGTGACTGACAGGGGGCAACTTCAGCATCTCTTTCCATTTTTTACTACGCCCACTCCGTTTGCCTAGAAGAAAATATGAATAAAATTGAGAAAAATTGAACATAACATTAACAGCATAAACCTAGGTCAGTTCTACACAGATGTGTCAGACTACTTTTCATGCCTAGAAAGAAATCCATCTACAATGATACCCAAACCAATAACAAATGTGATACAGAAGAACTTTTATGCATTTTTTTCATGCTTCATGTAAAGTCTTTTCCAAGACAAATATTTCACATTTTGGCTGTGTATGTAGAATATCTCTCCAGAGAAAAGACAAATATTTAGGTATTATGAAAATCACAAACAAAACTGGAACATTAAAGATGAAACAAAAAATAATTTTGAGAATTATCTCTCAACCATGGTAAAGAATGGAAGAAAATAAAGTTGAGTAACAAAATACCAAGAACAAAGTTCTTAAATACATTTTTGGATAATAAAGTTGTACATAAATATTCTCTCTTTAAGGGCAGTAATAGTAGTAAGAGTAGACCCCACTAATAAATGAGAGGGCATAGCTCAAATACACACTGTTTACTCTAGGCCACACAAGGATACCAGGAAGAACTTAGCTGTTGTAAAATTTAGATATTTTCAATGCTTCAGATTTCACAGCACTAATATTGAATTAGCATCAATTAAAAAAAACTACCACAGTATTTTTCTCTGTTTCTAAAAAAACATATCTGTGCTACATTTTCTATGTTACATTGGACTTTCAGCACATTACCTTGGCCAATTTCATTTACAGAAGTTCTGCATATTTTTCAAAAAAGCAGAGATAGACAGGAACATGTACACACACTTTCAGATCCAAAATATTTTAAAAGATTTTACTAAGTGATATGATCAGATGCATTTCCACATGACAGAGCAGCAGAAAATCTGCACAGAAGCTTTCTCACCATACCAAAGCAGTACGTACTGCTAACCACAATGGGAGAAAAAGGAAGGGAGTTACCCAATGTAGTGTGAATAGAAACTAAGCAGCAAAGGGTACCAAACCCTTTCAGAATTAAATCATTAGGGTGAAAGGAACTAACATCTTCAGAATAACAAAATACCTATTTTTTTAAAGACCCTCTTTAACATACAGCTTCTTGAGCCATTCCACCAACACAGTTAGACCAGTCCCAGCTTAGTGTACCTTAGCTCATACCAAATTTACATGATCCTTGCTAACAGGAATATTGACTTTGTACTGTGCTGCTGCAACAAAACATGCTCAACTCTAATATCCCTAGAAAGATAAAACAATAAGGAATAAAACACCTATAAATGTTGGCTTGTGGACATTCTTTGAACTGACACCTACTCTCTAAATAAACCCAAACTTCTTCTGCACTTCATTTTCCAATAATCATTTTGCAGGTCTTTTGCCTTCCATAAAGTTTCAGAACACAAAATATGGAATCTACCTCCCATCCCATATTTCAAGCAGTACCAAAACTAATAAGTTAGTATTTAGAGTATTTAGTATTAGAGGCTGTAAATACCAGCATCATTAAAACAACCTGTTTCTATGTTAACAAAATATTTTTGATCTTTAAAAGAAGTTGAATATATGCTTAAAGAAAATCAAATCTCACAAAGCATAGAGCCCTTCTAAGAGAACTGAACACAAAAAAAATAAAGGAATATTTACATTGATAGCCTACACATATATACTGAATAACAAGGCTTGGGTATAGATTATGTGATCATGAAAAATAATGGATAGAAGTGTCAGGTTTAGCTATGTAACTGAAAAATACACTAAGCTGCAAGGTCCACAGAAGTTAAAAGTCTTCTATTAAAAACTACCCAGAAAGACTCAACTGTGCATGACACTATGCAATCAGTACTGATCAAGAATGATAAACTGACCTCAAATTCATATCACAATGCTGTTTGGAAAATATAAAATGAACTGTGATATATATCAAGAATACCATGTTCTGAAGCACTGTCAAAGGAAAAACCCATCCCATCCCCATCCAAAAAAAGGAAAGGATCACTAATGCATTTTACTTCAAGTCCAACACAAAAAGTGATATATTTTGCCCAATATTTGGCCAGTAACTTACGATGTGACCATTATGAACTTCATTTTACAAAAAGAGAACACATGCTAGAATGCAACTGAATTCACCATCCTACAGAAGTCAATAAAGGCTACATATAAGTTATTCATGATACACAAGAATCAGTGGTTTAGCAGTATCCACTAAATCAACGTGCTCTCACTTTTCTCTGAACTGAATGTTCTTGTATTTACAGCAAATGCACTGTAGAAGTCTGTAGGTCCCAGTAATGTAAAGAGTCATTTCTGGTAAAAGTTATGGCAGGCCAATTTGTTTGTCATGTTATTCCTTAATTGCAAAATCCTTTTCCATTTCTGAGGCAGTTTAAAAGAAGTATCAAATCAAATTATAACAATTGTGGTTTGAAAGTGTCTTAATATTGATTTCAGAGCTTCTATTCTGAATCTCATTCTAAAACACTTCAGATAAAACTCTTCTACCTACAGAAGAGCCAGAAGCCATTAGGTTAAGGTGCTTTCTGGTTGACCTCTGTGGCTCACATGAGTTACTGCTTTTGCCTCCTTCAGATGGAATCAGGACTAAAAGCAATGTCCAGCTTGAAGCGATGCATCTTGTACAAAGAGAAGAGTGGATGCAGCAATACACCATTACAGTGAGGAGAAACTTCAATTACATTTTCAGGTACTAAAGAACCTTAACTTTTCCTTCCCCACCAATTACTTCTTAGAGTTACAATTTCAACAATTTTAACTCTTTTCCTATTTTTGCATCTTAAAAAGATACATACTAAATTCCGTTAGATCACTGTGCCAGCATATAGTATAGGCAAAACATTTAGATGTTTTATTTCAACTCTTTTTTAATCTTCAAAGAAATATTTGAAAAATTTATGTAAGGCAATGCAATTGGCTTATTCATCAGTAAAACCACAACTAATTGCAAAAAATGAAATTGCTGTGGCTGCAAACTATGTCAAGAAATAAGAATATGTTTTAAGTCCTCAGATGCAGTTCTCAGAGCCAGAGAGATCTTCCTTGCAGATTTGATCTGCAGACTGACTCTCATTTCAGTGAGCACAATGCTCACTAAACATTATTAAGTCAGTTTTCCTTGAGGTAAAAAAATTTGGATTCTGTCATGCAGAATCCTACTTTACTGGCTACTACACTGACACTGAGATTCTGGCATGGAGTTTTTTGGGGACCTCTGTGCCCCAGCTTTCCTGTCTGTGCGGGGCAAGCACTGTGTATCTGAGGCTCAGAAGCACTGGGAGGCTGAGCAGCGCACAGCTCTGTAGCATTGGTGTGCACGATTGCTACAACTTCATTCTTGCAAAACTGATTCCACAAACCAGATTGTCAGATACCAGCTGAGAAATTCATACTAGACCACACCCAGATAAGCTTTGAAAGCCTAAGACTGCAACAAGATGGCAACCTACAACACGCCTTTAGTGTACAAATCAAATCACTTCGTTCAAGGAAAAATGCAAAACAACTGATGCAGGAGCTTTACATCATCTACACTTAGACACATGAAATTAAGCTGAGTACATACACTGTTTTAAAATATTTCCCACAGCAGAGGCAATTGCAGGCAAGTTTCCTAATAGATTTAATACTCACATGAATTCAAAATCTTCTAGTTCCAGACACATTTTCCTTCATACTACTCACAAAAAGGATTAAAACCTTCCACTAAAAAAAAATCAAAACATTCCTGTTTAACTATGGTCTTATGCTATACATACATTAATAAACACTGCCCATTGAGTAACAAATTTCCATTTTATGCCTCTGTTGTGCAAGATCCACCTTCAAGACACAAAACAGTGTGCAATTAATACTTCATCTCTGGAATAGCACCAAGTTCAGACTAGATGACAAGCTCATACCATCACTCAGGGAAGGCTGTCATGCTTCCAGGTCTGGAGACAGCTCATAAGGTACTGCTGTGGGGGTTCACAACAAGATAATCCATTCTGCAGGTCAGATGTATTTTTTGTATCAAGTTGTATTTTGACAAAATACAAGCTTGTATCAACTCAACCCTGGGCACAGCTTAACAACTACATTAAACAGAGTGGCAACACTTTTCTATGGAGAAAGGTTTGGGGCTTTTTCCCCAGAGATATGATAAATACAAACTGTTCTTAGTAAACTCATGACAATCACCTGGCTGAAAATTCAGGTTTTGGCACAATGTTAGCACCTAACTCACCAGCATTACAAAGGCCAAGGTACTTCTGAATGCAAACAGAAGCAAAAATGCAAGTAGTACAATAAATAAACAAAAGATATCTATAGATTACAGATTGTTACTGCATTTATAAGATAATAGTCCCCACACTCCTGGATTCAAGTACATGAAGTTGGACTTCAGCAAGGTAATACTCGAGTGCTCTTGCTCATCTGACTGTCAAAGCAGTAACACTGCAGCAGTTAAAAGCCCAGCTCTCTACGTGAACATTTGTGCCGTTTGTTTATGTGCACAATCATTTATTGTTCCCACAGCTATAACCACTCGAACAACTGGTTCTTCACATGGGCTCTCTATCCAGCCCGGGTGATCATGTGCACATGTAGGAATGCCAGTGCACACACTGTGCCCAGTCTCTGCACTTCACCAATTAAGTGTGGAATGGAAAGCTTGTATCAACTCAACTAAATGTAACTGATCTGAACTTAAATTTATTTATCTGTTTTTGCAAACATTGTAACATCTCTGTATACATTTTGAGACATCTATAACCAGCCAATGAACAGGGTTTACAAGGGGAAAAAAACACTAAGAACGCTGCAATTTTACAGTCAACAAACAAGCATGACAGTACACTTTTTAGAATGATAGTACACTAAGAATGCAACAAATATTAAAGAAGTAAAATTGATTTAAGCTGATTGTGAAATTTGTAATTGCCACATTTAAAATAAGCAAAGCAGCAGCATGTATCAGTTACTAGACCTCTAGTGTTGTGTTTATTTAGTAA